TCAGGCTAAATGTGCAATACCGTTCAGGGTTTGAATGCTTTGATTAAGTCTTTTCATAATTTCCTCTCTTCAAGGCTAGAGGCTGTGAAAGGGGTAATTTTGCTTCGATATTTTGTTTAAGGTCGACTCTTCAAAACTGCACCATTTCTTAAGCTGAACTCTGTGACCTTACTGACGCTACACCAAGGGCCACACTCACTTTACTTTGCTGAATTTGGGTTAATTTCTTTTACTGTAAAAATACTTTTCTTTGTAACCACTTAATGCAAATTATATTAGATTAAAAAATGATTACATTTTCTATTTATTTACTAATTTGAATGCAGGATTTGGCCATTGATATACAGTACACACATCACGCTCGTAAACCCCTCCTTGGACGCTCCAGCCCTTCCTTGTCTCCATCTCCAGCACCTGCTTCTGGTTCCTGCCCCATGTCCTATAAAAGCCAGACGTTCCTGCCAATCTGGTCTCAGCTTTGGAAGATGGACGCCCGGAAGCCCACCTCCCCGCGAGTCCTGGAGCGACTCGGCAGCATCGGCTTCAATGGCGTCCTGACCTTCTGGGTCCAGGACTGGAGCGTCTGGTCCCGTTATCCCCCTTTTATTCCTCCAACCCTCCACCGGATCCCGCTCCTGCCTTTTAACTTTGTTTGTCTGTCAGGTTGGATCTCCCGGTTTTGGACATTGGAATATTCTCGGATTTGCCTCGGACTCCTTCGGACTGTTTGCCTCGGACACATCCCTTGAACACCAGCACACCTAGAATACGCCCCCTGTTTTCCTTCCAGCCCCTTTTGTATGCTTCCCCGTGTTTTCCTCACTTCTCCCGGATTGTGCTGGCTGCATAGGGTCCTGAAAGAACGCTTCGTGACAACATATATCCTGTCATACTGTACACCTTTCCAAATTCAAGTGTATAGTTTTCCATGGTTTCCAAACACATGCTGTTTAGTCATGCAAGTGATCCCTACCCAAAACATTTGTGATTCCACAGCTTGAAACAGAAATGCCAAAAGGACATGAAAGATGTACTACTGCAACAAAACTGTGACTTCCTGGTCAAATGTTTTTTTCTTATCCTCCAAACCCATTCAATTAGGCTATTTTTGAGTTTTGAGTCTTTACATATGTTACAGATAATCTACTGTACATTGAGGGCCAGAGCCGGCTTTACTTCTTGAGCAGGCTCACGTCCTTCAACGTGTTTAGTAAGATGCTCCATATGTTCTATCAGTCGGTTGTGCGAGTGCTATTTTCTATGTGGTGGTGTGCTGGGGCTCTGGCATTAGAGAAGGGGATGCTAACAGGCTGAACAAGCTCATCAAAAGAGCAAGTTCTGTCATTGGGTCTGATCTGGACCCCTTGGAGGTAGTGGCTGAGAGGAGAATGGTGAACAAGTCTCCCATCCCCTTCTATGACACGCTTGTGAGAATTAAAAGCATGTTCAGCAATAGACTGATCCAACCATGGCGCAACAGGGAGCACTACAGGTGGTCATTCTTACCTCCTGCCAAAAGACTGTACAACTCATCCACTGTGTGTCTGGGCAGGGGCACCATTGGCCTGTTTTGTGTCTAAACATTAATTCTCTGTTAACAGCTGGTTTTCCTGTTTACAACTGATTTTTATGCAATATATGCTAGAAATTGGTGCAATATATGTATAATATGCACTACATCTTTTGTGTACTGTACATTCTGGTTTGTTTTGTATCTTCTGTAATGTGAGCAATTCTGTATACTCCATTAAAACAAATTACTGCACTTCGCACTGACTGTACTCACTGTATTGTATTGTTTATTATTGTATCTTTTCATTACACTGTGCTGTGTTGACACTGCAATTTCCCTCAGGGGATTAATCAAGCTATCTAATATATCATGTTCCATTTTGTGTTTGTTGTATTTTGGGAAATAAACAATTAAAGATAAACACGTGGTAACATCCATCCATCCATTCTCTAACCACTTCATCCAATTCAGAGTCACTGGGGAGCTGGAGTCTATCCTTAAAAACAATGGGTGCAAGACAGTATACACCCTGGATGAGACACCTGTCCATCACTGGGCACACACAGACACAGACAAATAGATGCACTCACACTAGAGCCAATTTTGATGTATGACTTATACCGTACTTACCAGACAAAAACAGAGCACCAGGAGGAAAGCCACACAAAGGGAGAGATTTTACCACAGGATGAGAGAAGGAGTTGTAGTGAAGATGCTATGCCTTATTCTCAGTAGAACTTTTCAGGTTTTATCATGTGAACATCAAGGATCAGTGAACTTTCTTATTGCTTTAATTATATTGGGTAAATCTTCACCAGACAGTTTAGTGAATTACTGTTGGTGTGATGGATTCGCACAACAATACATTCAGAGACAGGAGAGAAAGCGTTGTCCATGTTACATAAGAAATGTATGCACACATAGCCCTATCAGAAAGGGTAACTAAAAGAAAATGCAACAGAATGGAGAATGGACTGTAATAACTATGCTGTTATACCTGGGTTAGCCAGAGGTCGCAGATCTCTGTCTCCTCAGTAACCAGACATATCAGCAAGAGGACAATGTACTAGAACACCACCCTGGGCTGTTCAGACTCTCTCGGGTCCGTTGTCCCTACCACCTTCCTCCAACAAATGGGTGCTAATTCCCTCAAGTCCAGGAAATACAAAAGAGAATTTGCCACTTATCCAGTGCTCTGTCATTGAGGTACCATCCAACCCAGGTAGTGTACTAAGCATTATTAACCTGTGTCTCAGAATGACACCCAGCCTGAATCCTACCTGAAAGACTCCCTGTCTGTCCTGAACCTGCTCAGCCTTTCTGTTGTCGCCAACCACCAGACCAGGGGCACATTTCTTCACTTGCAGCCTGTATTCCCACTGGAGAGTGTAGCCTAGATCAGTCCTGAAAGCTGCGTTCGCCATCTTTCACAGATTAGTCCCGTCTGCGACTGCCTTCCGATCTGCCTCAGTAATCCCCATCCATCCTTGTGAATGTCCGAGCCTTCGCCGGGATCAAGCTCTTGGATTCATCAGGCTGTCAGCAAGATGCCGCTTTTCTTATCCGGTTGCTACATCAAAACAAACACATTTTATTTATGTGAATGTAGTGAGTGTCAACACATGAACGATAGAGTTGTGGCATTCTAGTCTGTAGTAAAAAATATCAGAATCTATTAATCTAATCTATTCAGTCACATAATGCTCTATTTCTTATCAACAAAAGAACTCTCTATCACCTTACCCCACTAGGACAAAAAGAGAGCATGAACATGGAAAACTTTATCTAGGATGTAGCAACAGAATCACGAGACTTAAATTTTCCTGTACTCATTGAGTACCCCACTTACATTTCTCTGATCTGATAGGAACTAATACAGCATATGAGCTATCTGGGTGAGAAAATAGTGAGGAAACATTCAAATTCAGATCACACTTCAACCACTTTGCATGAAAAAAATCACTGTGTTGAAAATTGATACGTGGTTGTATTGAATAAAACAATCAGCCTTAGACATGTACTTTTCCAAATGTGTTGTATCTGAGCTCATTTTCTGACTTTTGCTTCCTGACTAATTGGGTATATTAGTGTCAGTTGCAGTTTGTAAATGTGAAGGGAAGTGTCATCTCTGATCACTACAGCCCTTTCCCTTGTTTTATAAAAAGTATAACTTATCGTGCATATGCTGAAATCATAAGCTATATCCTAATCTGTTACTGATTACGACACACAATCAGGCTAGGTCTAAACAAACAAACTAAAGTCTTGCATGCCTTATACAGTACCTCCAGCATTTTCAGCATTTTATCAAGTGAAAATAAGGTGTAAAGGGCATTACACAGTGCTGTTTAAAAATTCATAATGGTAACTATACCCACAAGTCAAAAATTCTAAATTATTATCATTAATTTATTTTCCTGGTGCCCAAACAAATAATTACAGTATTACTCACTGTCCGGACAATATTTCAATGTGGTTTTGTACTTCCACTGCTTATTGATTTTGATTTTCTTTTTCCTTTGAACAGAGCCAGTTCCTTAAACAAATATGGCATTTTCTAAATACCTACAAATGGTGTTTTCAAAAACAAAAACCTATGGCTGCCATTGCCATGAACTCATAACTGCCAAAAGGGAAAAAGCTGCTGTACACCACAGTAGTAACAGATCTGTTTCAGTTGTATCATGAAGTCAAGTTCATGATGAAGACAAGGCTGGGGAATTGTGCCACTTAATAGTGAATAGCATGATACCAAGTGAGACATAAAAAAGACAGGGGATTAAACCTTCTGTAAAATTTAGACACAGCTTTTTTTAGATTAATTTCTACTGCTATTTCTGAAGACTTTTTCTGTGTCCTGCTCTCCAGTGAAAAGTCTTTGCAGTGGTGCAATATTTCAGAAATATTATTACTAAGAATTCAAGAAAATGTAGGAAGGCAAAATGTTCATAAACCTCAACCGTCTTGAAGAATAACATCCTGAATGAATTATAGGACTGTGTGTTCCTTTAGATTACTTTCCCTCTTAACCTTTCAACATGAGCCTCTGGTGGCTCTTAAAATAAATGTCTGTTTTGCCAGAGGGATGTGTGCAGTGTTTTGAACAGCAGCTGCGTACCATCAATGGGAATAGAGGTTAGCCTTTCGTTAGATCAGGACAGTGTAGTGGCTTAACAGTGTTTTTTCCTTCACGTAGCGACGACTAGCTAGGCAAATCGTTACGTGTTCCACTTGAGCTCCGAGTATCGAAACTTAAATCTGCCTAACTTTTTTAACTACATCACAGAAAGAGAAACATAGATGAAAGAAGTTTTAACGCGATTGTGTAGAACATGATCTGTAAATTAAGAATGTGCTGTCCTCTTGTGGACTTTCGTTGAACAACAACAATTATGTGTCGCGTCACAGACTACATTCCTGGGAGGAGGAGACAGTGAAATCTCAGCCGCAGCTCAGTAATTTGGGTTTGAGTTTTCTCACAGTGGATGTCGTCTGTGGAATATCAACAAACAGGGCAATACTCTTCACACGGCAGAAAACAAAACGTTAAAGGAATATCGTTCACAGAACTAATTTAACTGTCACTAATAATAGTAATGGAAAAACAGAAAAAAAGTTGAAATAATCTAAGAGGTTAAATGATCTTCAGAGTGAGATATATTGCTAAACTGATGATTTAGAATTTAACCTTTTTTGGTGTTTTTTTGTAGGGGGGATGAATGTGATGACGTTGCTGCAAAGCTTTCCAACAAACATGTAAGCACAAGTATTTCCACTCTCCAGTGCGACAGACGCACCTTGAGCGTGCGTTCACAAGTTCTTGCGTCTTTTCATATCTTTTGAATTATTTCCATACTGCAGCTCCACAGCAGTGCTTTAATGGTCTCATTGTGTCTCTGAACTAACTTAAAAAAAACATTTCTTTATGGAGTTTCAAAATGACTTTTTCTGACTCGAACAATGATAACGATAATGGAAATTACTCCGGAGGCACCGGTAATCTGTCTCTCGCGGATCACCCTTTTGCCAACATCAGCAACAACACCTCCATGGAGCTGACATTGGATTCTCAGGCAATAGGGATAGGGGTGTTTCTGTCCGTTTTTATATTATTCGCGATCGTGGGGAACATCTTGGTGATACTTTCTGTGGTATGCAACAAGCACTTGCAGACAGTCACCAACTACTTTATCATTAACCTCGCCATAGCTGATTTACTTTTAAGTACTATTGTGCTGCCTTTCTCTGCCTCTTTAGAGGTGCTCGGATGCTGGGTTTTTGGCAGGATATTCTGCAACATCTGGGCTGCGGTGGATGTGCTGTGCTGCACTGCATCTATTATGAGCCTGTGCATAATCTCGATAGACAGGTACATCGGAGTGAAACATTCCCTGAAATACCCTACTATAATGACAGAAAAGAAAGCGGTGGTGATCCTAATAGTTGTCTGGGTCTCCTCTATGGTTATTTCAATAGGACCGCTGTTAGGATGGAAGGAACCGCCGCCGACAGACGAGAGCATCTGTAGCATCACCGAAGAGCCGGGCTATGCCCTTTTCTCGTCGCTTTTCTCCTTCTATCTCCCGCTCATGGTCATCCTGGTGATGTATTTTAGGGTCTACATTGTAGCCAGGAGGACTACTAAGAACCTAGAAGCGGGGGTGAAAAAAGAAAGGAATAAGTCAGTGGAAGTCGTCCTTAGGATTCACTGCAGAAGTGTCCTGGAAGAAGCCGCCGCAAGCGCTAAAAGCAAAAGCCACCCTTTCCGAAGTTCCCTGTCCGTGCGCCTCCTGAAATTCTCCAGAGAAAAGAAGGCGGCCAAAACTCTGGCCATCGTTGTCGGGGTGTTCATCCTTTGCTGGCTACCTTTCTTCTTAATTTTACCTCTAGGTATGTAAGAAATCGTTATTTTGTTTTTGTTTGTAGTAGTGTGCGGACCAGGGCGAAAAAAGGTGTGTTCTTGCGTTGAGACTAAATGTGGCGTGAGAGTGTGGGGGATTTTATCGATTAGGTTACCCAGTCTAACAAAACTACTAACGTCTCTTTGTGTAAACAAACGTGCAATGTCGTTTCAGTAAAACAAACAAAAAAAGTGATTACCTATCCGTGTTAATGGACGCTGTCAGAAAGTAATGCAGGCGCAACTGATCTCGTTCTTATTGATGCTGCCTTGATAAAAACGTAGAAAAAGCTAAACGGGAATTTTGCTTTTCTTTTCAAAAATATAAAATAAAATGTGTCTTCGTATTCCTGCAACACCAGCAATTGACACCAGAGAACTGATGCGGTGAACACATTATTTTGACTAAATTACAAAAATTCAGTAAAAAAAATACTTCATATTAACTAAAACAATCGGATTGTAGAGTATGCTTAGTTTACAGTGTAAAGTAGCGTTTAGTGCTGTATATGGTTCAGAAGTGCTTCAACATATCATGTTTTCTATACAATGCAAAAACAGGTTTAGATGATGGTCATAAAGATGTTTTTCGTTATTAGTCACTCTCCAAATAAAACCAGCTATATAGATATAACCAGGTTTCGTTATTCTTAAATAGAGATTCAAGACTTAATTGAAGACCAAATGAAAATTAAAACAAAGTGAGTTGGCAAAGCTCTTCTCTTTTTTCCCTTTCTGGCAAAGTGTGTGAAGAATTAATGGCTTATTGTTTAAAACAAGTCCACTACTCAAACTCACATTTCAAGGCATTCTAGACTGTGAATCCAGTAATTTCAACAGTCTGTTAAGTTCTATGGCTTTTAAAATCTATCCTCTGTAAATGGTCACATACCTCTATCTAGAGAGATTGTATTTGTCTTAAAGTCTTGCTGAAGTATTTGCTTTTCCCAATATCTTCTGGTACAATTAACTGCCACACTTGACAATTATAAAACTTTAAATGTATGTTCTTAACAAATTTAGCAAATATCATTCATGTTAGGTTTTCAGTTCAGATACTCTTAGAGTATTTACGTTTAGTTTACCAAAAAGTAATATTAATATATTTTCAATTTAAAACATATAAATCTCACTGTTTTCACAATCAGTTATATCATATTGCTTAACTGTAAGGAATAAGACATCAGGATACTCAGCTTTCAAACTCTTGAGATCATGTACTGTATTATTACGTAATTTTATGTAGTCCCATAAGAAATTAAATGCATCTGTATAACCGAGATATATAGATATTACATCTATATACTGTATAACATGTAAAATTAGGATTCTTATTATTCAGTTATGTCTTTCATCTTATTACTTATTATAGACACTTTTCCACTGGTTATTTTGGGTCATGAGGGAAAATTTCTATCCTGTGTTCCCATGAATAGAACTAGGTCTGGTTCATTAATAACTTATGAAACAATACATCAATGAGTCTAATCTGAAAATTCCCTTGTTCTAAAATGTAATGACTCTCCCTTTTTCTCATAATGGACACAGATTGTGTACTTGAAGACATTGCACACATTAATACATTAGTGAATATCAAATAAAGTCAAAGATATTTTTTTTCATAAGTTAAATGAGAAGGAGGTTGTTGGTTTTCCTGGTATGTTAAGAAGAACAAAGCTTGACAAGTAATGTGTTAATTTAATCTTCAGTGATATGCAAATATCACATTATGAGTGCATAACAATTAACACTAAATTGCTTAATAAAACATGTATGAGATGCATATGTATATATGAGAACAATCTCATATATATGAGTATATGAGAGTTTTGTTGTCAAATATGTTATTAATCTTTAGTAAGGTTCAGTTCATACTACTGTAGGTTATTGATGGACTGTAATGATAACTAATACTGAAATTGCCATTTAGTTTATCTACATTAGCTTTTGGTATGATACAAAGATTATACAACCGGCATACTTAAAAATAAGACTAAACTTTTTTCCCAGCATACTTTTAGGTTATTTTCTGAATTGATTTTTATTAATTTCATTCAAAGAAGAGGAAGCACTTTCTTTTGTTGAGAAAGGATATTAATACAGTACAAGAGTCGCACTCAGCCTTGGGTCCAGACGTACACTTCAAGCTATAACTTTTCTTCTTTACACTTCAAGTCAAACATTTGCATACTTTTTTCACCTAATAAGAAAATGTGGAGAATAATAATTTTGTCTCAAACAAAATGTTACAGAATGCAAAAAAAAATACAGCTTTAAAAATACAGTCACAGTTCAGTGCTTATGAAAAGAAAATAGGTTTAGCAGATGAATGGCGTTTAAAGCTATTGTTTGGGGCTCCAGCAAACATATTCTTGTGTTGTCGCTTATGGTGGATTATTTAGTATCTACTGTATATACTGAATATGCCTAAAATATTCATATCTTTAAATAAAGCCAATTATGGACTGCTTGCTCATTTTCATTCATTTCATTCAAGAGATGATTTATGGTCGCTATTTAGATGATTTGTGGTGAGGTCGTTTTTGGGATGCATGGGTGTATTAATTCATCCAAAGTTAAGAATGTAGTTTGACACCTGTCTGAAGTGTTGGCTTTGGATAGCTTTTACCCTTTTTAGTGGCTACTGTGCAGTCCTCAGAGGCCGTCCCCTTAGGGGAATTACAGTCCACTGTATTTATCATAGTCATCATTGAGCCCTGTTATTAAGGTTGATGTCACTTTCTAAGCTTAATGACCTTTCTGTTAAACTCAGAACTTGTCTTAACATAATTTATCAATTTCCTGGATGCAGCACCTCTGCTTGGACTTATTGTAATAGAGTCACACTATGCTGTTTTTGACATCTCTGTTGACAACGTGCTGATTAAGGGACATAAATTCAATTTTTCTGCCAGTACTTTTGGAGTGTATCAGATGTGCCTCCAGATAATCTGGGCATCTGCTGTCTGGCACAGAACCTGAATTCCTGGATACGTTGTTTTTTTAAATGTTTCTTTTCTGCAAATTTTTCATCTATTTTTTTTCCTAACAGAATGCCACTGTCTTCATGTTGTTCCCCTGTTAAGGGAAAATATATCAGATATGGGTAGTTACTTTTACCCAGATTGAAATGTTTACTGACACTGTACAGACCCCTCTCAAACCCATTGTAGGATTTAATTTCTTTAAAAATATATGTTTCAGTTTTTATTATAGTGGGAATAGAAAATTCTGTTCTTCCATTCAGTTCATCTGCTTTTTGTCTAAATAATTTGAGGTTGTTTTTTTTTCTTCTCTGGCTAACCATACATGTAGCTTGTCCCTAAACACCTGTCATTTTTAGTTTGCATTTTTACCTGCAAGGAGGCCTCATTATCAAGTAATTTATCAAGAATTATTTATGTTCTTCAAGTTTTTCTTCCTTCTTCCAGTAATAAAATATTTCTGAATGCTTAGAAACATATGTCTTCTTTACTAAACAACAAAAAACAATAATGAAACAAAAAAAGATTATAGTAGTTCAAGTACTGTAGGTACTGTAGCTACGTCAGCAGGCGTAGGCTGTAAAGGAACAAGTAAAGGTTTATTCAATGCTGAAAAGAGAAGAAATAAACCACAACGTTTAGTCTGTGGAACCTTCTTCGGGTGTGAAGAAAAAAGCTTATGCAGCCAAAACCCCATTTGTTGCTACTCTGATACTTATGTTGATGGTTTGCATCACAAATTAAAGTTGAAAATTGTGGTAAGACTCATAAAACGTAAAACTTTCTGGGTGCTGTGTTGGCTGTTTGACCCTTTCATACCTTGCTAAGCTTTTGTCTGTTTTAAAAAAGCTCTTACACACTCAGTGGAGAGTTTATTGCTCCTATTGTAGTCAAAGAAAAAATACAGTTCTGCAGCAAAGGATTAGCAGAATACAAATTACACGACATGGATTTCAAATGATGACATTTTATTTTTGTTTGGTAGTTTCTCTGCTAACATTCTGTTTTTTTTTTAAGTCTGGCACTAATCACACATTAATCAATCATTATAATCAGGAACTTTCACCAGGCTACAGCAGGTCCTCTATTAATTGTTATCTTGCTTTTAGGCAAAAATTATTTGACTTTGTTTTTAATTACAGTATATCTAGTTTTAAGCAGTTATGTGCAACAACGTCTAACAGTGAATTATTTGCAAATGACATTGTATAGAACATGGTTTTAACATTTTACCCCCATTAATATTCAATGTTAATTAACTTTGCTAGTACAGTATATGGAATATGGAACAGGCTACCCAGCCAAGTTGTTGAAGCTGATACCCTGGCTCTCAGGAAACAGATGTGCTGTATGAGGTCCTGTGATCAATTAGCTACCAGTGACAAACTGGATGGGCCTTCTGCATCTG